ATAGATAGATAGATAGATAGATAGATAGATAGATAGATAGATAGATAATGGATGGAGCTTAATTTCTTAGTTATCTGGTCCAAATTTTTTGCAGTGGAAGAATGCGTAATCACTGTAGGGTGCTCATCTGGCTGCCTAGCCATGTCTCTCAGTCAGTCTTCCTTCCTTCTGTTCTACCCTTTGTCCAAAACACCATGACTAAAAATCTGTCTGGTTTAAAGGAAACTGAAAGTATAATGTGGACTGACATCTATGCATACATAGGATACCAAAATTGCCAATCAGTTACCTGCAAGTGCTACAAGAAGGACAAAATTGCTGATATTCTTATGACTGACTTAAAAGTTTACCTCTCCATAAGACCTGGAAAGAACTTCAGTAATACAACAATGGACTAATAATTGAGAGAGAAAAGAAAACGGGGTGGGGGGGAAGAACAGGGAACCAGGCCCTGTGAGTACTCTATCCCCATCTTATAGTCTCTTGCATGGTTTTATCTTCTTTTACAACTTATGATTACTTTCTGCTAAGCAATGAAAAAGTGCTGCCTTTCTGAAGGATCAATTTTATTGCCTTTTTATAGACCATCTAGCCCATACTGGTCCTCCTGGACCTGTAACCATAGAGAAAAATCTCCATCCATCCACTCCGTCCTACATGCTCTAACCTGTAGCCATCCAGTACCAACTCTTGGCGTTTCTGCAGGAGAGCCTAGAAGGCCCACGTGTGGTTGGCTCTGGCTTTCTCACAGTTGGCCAAAAGTATGTGCATCATCAGCCATCTGCCTTCGGGGTAGCTTCCTCAACTTTTCAGTCTGGGTTAATTTTCCCAGCAAGCATGTGAGCTTAGAAGTAAGCTCCGTTTTTTTTTTTTTTTTTTCTCTGAAGCATAACTACAACACTAATTCTCCATGGAGCCAGGAATAGCAGGGAACCCTTTCTGTTTGAAAGCGTTATGCATTTCAACATAACCCACCAAATTACAATACCTTCATTTGAAATGACACAAAAGGGGTCTCCTGAACTCACATCCCCAAGTCTTCTGAAGCTCAAATTTCAGATGTATCTATTTCTACCATTTCTTTCTGTAACTTATCACTTAATACACACATAAATCATCTTCAAGAATTCTCTCATTACTGTATATAAAACATACACACACTAATGTAAACTGGAATAATTCCCTACAAGGGAAAGGCCCATATCATTTCAGGCTCAGAAAAGCTCTAATGTGTTTACTAATTGTTGAGGAAAATGTGGGGGCTGATACTGCCTAGCTGTTTCAGCAAACTTCACTCTCTGCTTTGAGCTGTGTCCACTTGCTGGAGACTGGAGTGAGCTGCTTTGCAGCGCCAGCTTTGAAGGCTGGTTTCTAACCACACTGGCTGAGCAGATTGGAGTGCAAAGTTTCAAGTCTACCGACGTGGCACAGAACCTAATTTCTTGTCTCTCAAGTAAGCTACAGGCTACAAGAAAAACCAGAAGTGGGGGGTGGGGGGAAGAGATGTATTCACAGCCTGACCAGAAGTTCTGTGGCCAGATACTGAACTGGTGGCACACTTTTGTGTACCAAGGATGATTTGATGATTTAAGTCATATAGAAGTATGACTCAAAGTTATTCTAGCAAGTGCCACACCTGGCGGGGGGCTCTTTTGTGACTAAATATTTAATCCATTTTTTTTAATATCTTAAAATTAAGTTCTTTTCAGAACTAAGTATATTGAAGTTAACTTATCATACTTTCCAAGTTTTACACTGTAGATGATGCATCTGAGAAATATCCCAAAGTGACAAATCTGTACTGTACTTTCTTTTTGGTAGTCTGTTTGTTTGTTTGTTTGTTTGTTTTATTTTTAAGGTCTTATGCAAGTAACCTGGCCTGGTTGAGAGCTAGGCTAGACTCCAACTTCTTATCCCCTGCTTCCATTTCTAGATATTTAGGGTTACAGTCATGAACCAAAATGACTGGTTCTAAGGTCTTAAGGAACAAAATATATATGGACTTACGGTAGAAATATTACTATCATGCTTTAGATCCTAGGACTTGGTTCATTTTCAGCATTGACCTATTTCTCTAATGTTTCAGTCAGTGCGGTGATTAGTATCCATGACATTTGTCCCAATCACTTTCACAAAACATGATATGACAAACCCAAAATCCCACTTAATTCAGTTTTTAAAACTTGCTTGGTTTTCATCCCTTTAAAGATTTTTGACTTTGTTATCTGAATGTAGGTGATGCCAAGAAGTTTTAACTTTCATGCAGGGGAAAAAAAAATGGTTTTAAAGAAAAATCTGTAATTAATGACAGATTTCCAATCTTACACCTTTATTTTAAATTAGGCCTCAGAAGTCTCTAGAAACAGAGGAGCATCTTTGCTGGCCAGGCCAGGACATAGCCTGATAGCTGCTATTCGAAGCCAACATCAACATGAGTCCTTGCCACTGGGTATGTACCCTAAGCTGCTGAGCCTCTAGCAACCCAATGCTTAACATTGCTCTCTACTGTGAACCCTTTGATAGTCCACCTGTGTTTTCTCTCTCTTCTGCTTTTGAGACAGGTTCTCTCCTTGTATATTTAGCTATCCTGGAACTTACTATGTGGACTAGGTTATCCTAAAACAAACAAGATTCGTATCACTCACGCTGAGATTAAAGGCGAGCACCACCACGCCTGGCCTCTCCTCTCTCGTGACACGTCTCAGCTTTTTACTCTCCTCCTCACCTCTATCAGTTCTTTCCTCTAGATCCTCATGCTCCTTCTTTTTCATTCTATTCAATAGTCAGTTAAACCCTAAGTGAAATAATTGATTCATAAGAAAATGAATCAATTTTAGTTGCTGTGTGCAAGTTTTTTGCCTTGTTTGTTTACTGTTGCTATGCTAAGGATTGAATGTAGGTTATATATGCTAGGCAAATACTCTAGCATTAAGCTATATCTCCATATTTTATTTTATTTTATTTGTCACTAAGTTGCTGAGACTGGACTATATATACTCAGCCACATGCAGGTGATTTTTAATATAGTGATTCTAATTTGTCTTCAAGAATTTCATACGTGTATACAATGTGTTTTGGTCATTATCTATCTACCAGTCTCCCCTCCAACTCCTCTTTCAAACCTCTCATCTGTTTTTAACCCACTGTCCAATTAGTGCGGCCCATGTACAAATGGGCATAGGGTCATCTGCTGGAGGGACACACTACAGGAAAAAATTGACTTGCCCTTCCCTACTGGCCAAAGACTCTAATAACTCTTCAATTAGGATGGGGCTTTGCTGCAGGATATTTGATCCCATTGTGAACCTCAAAATTGTGAACTTTAAAACCCTGTTTCTTGTTTGGTGTAGTTGAGCCCTATCACACATCTTACTCCAAGAACTTTTTATTGTAAACAGGTGATTCTGGTGTGGTTCACCCAGCCCTAGCACACACCTTTAATCCAAGAGCTTTCTGTACACAGGATTTAATAAAGTTAACCCTTTAGCAACATAATTTTGGCAGGTTCTTCCCCAAGCCTATGACTTCCCCAAATATAGTTCTTCATCAGGTTTAGAGTACCAGGCTCAAGATCCCTCTTATAGTGCAAATCCTACATCAAATTTAAAAAGTGATTGATGACCCTCTGCCACACTGATGCCACCATTGCGCCAATGGGAATGCTTGGTTGAGAGCTGGGTAAGACTGTTGCTCTGCACAGTCTTTAATCAGTGCCTCCCTTCCAGGTGTGTATGAGGAAAGCTTGCACAGCTGCCATTCTCAACCTCAACTATCTTTTTTAATTTTTTATTTAACTTTTATTAATTACACTTTATTCATTTTGTATCCCCCCATAAGCCCCTCCCTTCTCCCCTCCCTCCTCCCCTCCCGGTCCCACCCTCCCCCCCCCTTTCTGCATACATGCCCCTCCCCAAGTCCACTGATAGGGGAGGTCCTCTCCTCCTTTCTGATCTTAGTCTATCAGTTCTCATCAGAAGTGGCTGCATTGTCAGGGTTCTAGGTTATCTCCACGAATAGTCCTTGGTTGGAGTATGAGTCTCTGGGAAGTTCCCTGTGTTCAAATTTTCTTGTTCTGTTGCTCTCCTTGTGGAGTTCCTGTCCTCTCCAGCTCTTGCTATTTCCCACTTCTTACACAAAATTCCATTCACTCTGCCCGACAGTTGGCCATCAGGCTCAGCATCTGCTTTGACAGTCTGCACGGCAGAGGCTTTCAGAGGCCCTCTGTGGCAGGTTCCGAGGTTGTCAACCTCAACTATTTAATTCCAAAACACATGCATTAACCAAAATGAGAGTCAAAATAATATATATTTTCATCCCTGCGACTGGAAAATCAATACAAAGCCATGGCAGCAAGTGTCAAACACTCAAAAAAAAAAAAAAAAAAAAAAAAAAAAAGGATTTATTTGAACCTATAAAGGATCTTTTGTCATAAAAACTTTGGAAAAGTACCACAAAGGCTATAATGAATACAGATGTCCTCACAGGGGAGCTGTTCTGATCTTCATCTTCCACCTAAACATAGATGAAGTAACACCCTGCCTGCCATTTTACAGATGATTGCTCAGACTTGATTCACTTTTATTTATATCTTTTAAGATAATAACGCTACTGTGTGCTATTTTTATGCAAGACTTTGGTTTTCTTAAGAGCACTTCAGCTTTCTATGTCATTCACTAGTTCTGAGTGGACATTTTATAGTCATCTACCTCAGCCACTGTTCTGCATTTTCTTTTCTGTTTCAGCATACAATGACAAGATTGTGGCATTTCTTCGCCAGCCAAACATTTTTGAAATGCTACAAGAACGTCAGCCAAGCTTGGCAAGAAACCACACACTCAGGTAGGGTTCATCTCCCATCCTAAGAGCACTTGCTTCTTCCAGTTTTGTTTTGATTTTTTCCAGGTTGTAAAGCAATACTATGGAGAGAGAGCCAATGAGACTTACGACACCTTTCATTGCTGTGTACAAGTTTTAAGTGAGTCCTAAAAAGGAAGGGTTTAGTGTTCTGGAAAGTTTCTCAGAGAAGGTAGTCCTATCAGGTTACGTAATGTTAAAATTATTTCCACTGACTTGGAGGAAAAGAGAAAGGGAACAACATAGTTTTCATAAACATTACTTATATAATACCCCATCTCAATTATTTTTAATAATTTTTGGAATACGATTATTTAATGATAAAAACAATTAGGTGACAACTTTCAAAAATAAGCAAACACAAAGTATTATGTGTATGCTAACTACTTAATTCCTAGTATGTATGAGTCATGTTTAATATTTTTTGAGATTATAATATAATTACATCATTTTTCTCTTCCCTTTCCTCCCTCTAAACCCTCTAATATACTCTTGCTCTCTTTCATATTCATGTCCTTAGGTTTTTTTTTTATTATTTGTTGTTACATATACATATATGTATATTATATACCTATATATTCACAAGTACAGCCTGTTCACTTTGTATAATGTTACATGCATGTATGTTCAGGACTGACAGTTTGGCTTTGGATAACCAGCTGCTGTGTTCTCCTGCTCTCAGCATTCCTTGGTTACCTGAAGTTCTTTGTCTAGGGTTGAGGCATTGGTGTTTTCAGCTCATGTTTAGGCAGTCGTATTGGTGAGACTTTGTGGGTGTGGCTTCTAACATTCCTAGACACAAGAGACACACTCTTGCAGCAATTTCCCTGTTCCTCTGGCTCCTACAGTCTTTCCACCCACCCCTCTGTAATCATCCCAGAGCCGGAGCCGTAGGTACAGGAGTTCTGTTGTAGATGTATCATTTGATCTGGGCTCTACAACTCTGCATTTTGATCGGTTGTTATTTTCAGTAATAGTTTCTGCCTGTTGCAAAGAAAAGCTGCTTTGATGAGAGGTGAAGACCACACTTACCTGTGGTATAAAGACAAATATTTATAATGCAGTTATAATCAACCCAAATGCCACTTTGTTTGTTCACAGTAACTAAATATGCATTTCAGAGTTATTTTCAGTTATATTTTAAAAGAAAAACCTAACTACTAAAATTGTAATGTTCTCAGCCAAACATAAGGCAGAGCTCCAGGAATCCTGTGGAAGGATTGTAGAGGCCAGAGGAGTTGATTCTGTGGGTTTTCTTGACGTGTCTTGACTCTTTTGGCTCCTGTAATTCTCCCTTTCCCTCCTCCACTCACCCTCATCCCTGGAATGGTCCTTTTTGTTTTCCTGGTTTCTGCAGTTACTATAGGATATGTACTCACATCTGAAGATTTGAGGCTGGGAACCTCAAATGAGAAAGAGAACATGCAACATTTGTCTTTCTGACCCTGAGTTACTTCGCTCAATATGACCTTTTCTAGTTCCAATTTGCTGGTCACTTTCATGGTTTCATTTTTCTTTAAAGCTAAACAATATTCCATAGTGTATATGTACCACATTTTCACTACCCGTTTGTCAGCTGAAGGATGTTAACTGTTGTGGATTAGCAGAAATAAACGTAACTGAGCAAGTGTCTGAGGATCTCCAGTTAAGGCATGGTAGAGCTGGGTCATATGGTGGATTTGTTTTTAGCTTTCTGGGAATTCTACACATTATTTCCAGAGTGGCTGGACCAGTTCACAATCCAACTGTGGATATGGGTTTTCATCTCCCCATGGCCCCTCCATCATCTGTTGTCAGTTGTTTTCTTGATCTGTGCCATTCTGGCTGGGGTAAGATGAAATCTCAAAGTTGGTTTTGAAGGGACTATGCCAGCTCGAACGTGTCTAGCACAGCTCTGGCAAGTCTTGCCCTTCACCCCCATTCCCTCTGCCTGGTTAGAAACAGTTTACATTCCTAAAGCTAGCCATCAAGTTCTACTCCCTTATTTGGCCACTTCTTCCTTCTGAGGCTACCAAAGGGTTAGAGTCCAGCAATCCAAACTCCCCACCCCACCCCCCTTTTGCTCACCTAATTAACATTCCCAATTAACATTAAATACCTCATCCTAGCACAGGGTTTCCTCTTTTATCTGTGTAAAATGCTGTTTTCCTATGTGCCACCTCCGTCCCCTCTATCCAGAGTCAGTCCTTTGTCCTCTTGAACAAATACCCCCTCTCCTTCGTTTCCTTTCCCTTCTCCTCATCCTCTATGTCCTGTCCTTGTCTTTTATTCCCTGCCTTTTATTCCTCTAGGTAAAATAAACCTCTTTTGTGCTGAGAACTTGATCTTGGGGTCGTGGACCAATAACAATTTCTAATAGTTTTGATTTTCATTTGTCTAATTGCTAGGGTGATGAACATTTTTTGAAGTATTCTTTACCCATACCTTCTTCATTTTAGAATTCTTTGTTCATGTCCCAAGCCCATTTTTTAAAATGGGTCATTTGTTTTTTTGTTTTGTCTTGTTTTTTGTTTTTGTTTTTGTTTTTACTGATTAAGTTCTATGTGTATACTAATACTGATCCTCTGCCATATATATAACTGGCAAAGATTCTCTCCCGTTCTGTAGGCTCCCTCTTCACCCCATTGATTGCTCCAGCATGTTTCCCTCTTGTTGAGCAGATATTAAGTCCAATTATACAGCCGTTGGTTACCACCAAGGGATGACTGACCCCTGACCCTACTGTGTACTCCTAAGGTTACCATGCCATGCTGGCTGTTGTGGTGGTCCGAGGTACCATATCTGGGTAGAAGTGTTGGTTTTTTTCCTCCTTCAGAGGTTTTCAGGTCAGATCCATCTCAAAGTCCTCTGACCCCTGTTTCTGAGGTGCACAGTGTCTCTAGCAGTAAGGGCTAACCTTCCACCTCTGCAGGGCAACAAGGGCAGTAGCAACAGCCTATAATGTTTTGAGAGTCTTTTGGACAACAACCCAAAGAGGGCGTCTATGCCTGGTTTGGGAGGGAGGTTCTTAGACAGTCTTTGGCTCTTGGAGGGAATAATATCAGCCCAGATGAGAAAATCCCCATTTAGACTCTATATGTATATCTATACACTGACTTACTTACATGTATTATAGATATTTTTAGACAGAGAGTTAAGGAGCTGGGCGTCTCTCACTCCCTGAAATGATGTAGACCAGCCTGTTTTATTTTCCAAGCCACAGTTAGAGAAGCAACTGAACATCCCCCAAGTTTTGCTTCTAGCAATTACTGCAATAATACTTTACCTCTAATGAGATTGGAGCCAAAGGACATCCAATTCAGCAACATTCTGCATAGTTGAGTAGAGCCCCAAAGACTTCCCTTACCTTTAAAAATCTCCATTATATAATAATAATTAAAGAAAAAACTCTTCAATGTTAGAGGGAGTAGGGATTCAGGGGAGGCATGGGAAGAGGAGAGAGAACGGTAGAAATGACATAAGTGCAGTACTCGCACATGAAACTCTCAGAAAAACAAAGTTAAATTAAAGGCTTCAACAAAATGCCCCTATATTGGGAGTCACTGCCAAGAGAGAGTAATGTTGCGTTGGTAGTATTGCCTGGTGGGGTGAACTGAGTGAAGGGTATAAGTAATTTCTTCATATTTCCATTTTCAGTTATACATGTGCCTCACCTGTTATCAAAATGAAATTTTAAATTAAAATTTTAAGTATTTGAAAATAAAGTCAATACTTAACATTTTGCCCAAATTTAGCTGCAAAAGGCAAAAGTTAATTCATTTAAAGCATGCATATAAAGAATGATTACTGAGGATGGTGGTGGTGGTATTACTAGGGAAAGTAATTGAGAAGTCAATTTGAGGAAAATAAATAGTTCTTACCTATGGACTTACTTGAAACAATTTTTTGATTAGAGTTGTAGATCAGAATGGTTAACCTGTATCTAAACAAGGACAGACTGAGGCCTATGCTTTGACTTAACCTGGATGTCCTTCTCATTCTAAAGCTCTAGGTCCCCTCTGTTCCCACTGTGGCATTATACATGTTCTACCAGAAACAAAATTTCCCTAGAGACAGCCTTCACTTTGTCCTCTTGGGACTTCCACTATACCTTGAGCCAAGAGAGCCATCTTTCCACAGCTCCCCTCCTCGCTGCACTCCTCTCTGTCTCAAGCACACTCTGACTCTGCTGTGCTCCTCAGCTTCTGAATCTGCATGCATCTCAGAAAGATCTACCCTTTGTCAAGCATCCAGGGAATTCAGGAGATGACCTTTAGGTCTATAAAATGCGTCAGACGTTGGGGAATGTTGTATGCCACATTGCAAGAAGGGAGAAAATAAATCTAAAATTATTTCTTGATGACCTAGCTGCGTTGATATGTAATTCTCATTTTTTTTTTTCTTTTCAACTGTACTCTAGGGAGAAAATCCATTATATTCGGACAGAGGGCAATCATGGGCTTGAGAAATTGTCCTGTGATGCAGATCTAGTCATTTTGCTGAGGTAAGGGGTTGGATTGGAGACCTCCCTGAAAAGCTACAGTGGAGAGGTTGGAGGAGGAAAGGGAGCCAGCCTGAAAAGGATGAGAATCAAATGCTGTCCACTTGTTCTAGAAGGTCCTAGAAGTAAGGCTTCGGTCCTTGATTGACAGCCCTTGTACATCCTTTAGATGTACAACGAGAGCATTCGGGGCTCTGAAGTTCTTAATGGAGACTTTTTGTAGAGTTAATAGAGGATTAAAGAACCAGAGATTATGAAAGTGGAGGTTCTACCTGCTCTTATACAATCTGCGCCCACTTTCTCAGGGGGGACAGATAACTAACTTTCTTCTTTTTAACCCCTACAGTCTCTTTGAAGAAGAGATCATGTCCTATGTCCCCCTGCAATCTGCCTTTCACCCTGGGTATAGCTTCTCTCCCCGCTGTTCACCCTGCTCCTCACCCCAGAACTCCCCAGGTAACTTGGAATTCTGGCCTGGTGTCACCTAAGTGATCATGTGTGTTTTCACCAACTGAAAGGAAATTCAAGACAGTTCTCTCTCTCTCTCTGTCTTTCTCTGTGTCTCTGTCTCTGTCTCTGTCTCTGTCTCTCTCTCTCTCTCTCTCGCTCTGTGTGTGGGTGCACGTGCACTCTCTCTTCATCCTTTTCAATTTATTAATCAAAAGTACACTCTAAATCAGGTATTGACAAACTAAACTGTTGCCTGTTTTTATTACTTCCCAGGGCTAAAAATGGGACTTGTTTATGTTTCTAAATGATGAAGAAAAAAAATGATACAGATCCTAATGAGTTAGCCTAAGCTAGCCTCAAGTTCATGGCTATCTTGAGATATAGCCTCCCAGATGCTGAGATTACCGGGGTGGATGTGCCATCATGCCCAACTGAAACAATAAAAATCAAACCTCAGTACTTATAAGTAATGATTCTGGGAATCGGCTCATGCTAGTTCATGTTTGTATTTTCTGTGGGAGTTTTTTTCGCACAGAAGCAGATATGAGCAATACTAGCAAAAACTGCATGGCCTGAAAAGCCTAAAATATTTATTCTCTGTTCCCTTTTAGAGATGGACCCTTGCCTTAATTTGTCATTACATCCCAATGACTTTTCCATGCATTTCAAAGGCATTTATTACAGGTGAAAGAAAGTTTGCATAGTAATTATGTGAAAACCCTTGTTTATATTAACATAAAGAATTAAATGCTGACCATCTGATACTGTAGGTCAACAGTATCTTAATGTTCTTCAGAGCTGTCTAATATTTTAGTCTTTTAAATGTCCCTTCTAAGAACTTTGCTTTATACAAATGCTTGCCACAGAAGAATACTTATGGCTATTTCAGAAACTGTTAAGAAATTCTGTTCTACTCCTAAACCCACAGTCAATGATTTTTTTTTAAAGTGAAACTCAAGGAAGGCTTTTTAAAATCAAATACTCTAAACCAACCCAGTCCAAAGATATATCAGTTTGATATTTATATGCTGTGGAATGACAGTAGAAAAATGCTAAAATTCTTTGTCTTAGTAATTGACATTACACAGCAGTCTCTGAGCTAAGCTGAGGTGTTCAGCCAGTGTCCATCAGTATCATATGTCATGACATCATGCACAGCACAAAGTAGGCACGTACTGTGTTCAGACCAGGATGGCAATGAGGTTGTGTGGAGCACTGGAGAGCGCTGCCAGAGCACTGAGGAGTCATTTGGTTTTGGATTAACTTCTGGTTGTTGTGTGCTCAGAAAAAATGTCCACAGCTTCCTCGTTCAGTTACACGGTTCATGAAAAATGCTGATCAAATATAAACCTCTAGATGCTCGAGTCCTGGCCTAAAAGCATGTTTGTTTGTTGTTTTTCTTTCAGCATCAGTATCAATTCAGAATCATGAAAAATTACACAAACAAAGGTCTTTCAGTCATTTCTTATGGCAATATATGAAACCATTTTTTTTTTATGTAACTACTTCTAAATTACCCAAGTAATAATCAAGTCAAGCCAGTTTTCATGGAGGTGCTTTTAATAGAAACAGAACTTGAATAATTTAAGTGGAAAATATAAACATTCCCACCAGAATCCACTCTCCCTTTACTGTTTTACTTCAGTTTAATGTAAAAGTAACCACGGGCAAGGCAGCAATGAGAAGGACTTCTAGGGGAGGGCCACAAAAGCTAGGACCATGCTTCGAGGACGGCATGCTCTGCAATCGCTCTGCACTTTTGTTCCCGGATGAAAAGCGCTGACCACGGACGATGTCTCTCTCTCTTTCTCTCCAGGTTTACAGAGAGCCAGCGCAAGAGCCCCTTCACCATACCGAAGGGATTTTGAGGCTAAGCTCCGCAATTTCTACCGAAAACTGGAAGCCAAAGGATTTGGTCAGGGTCCGGGTAAAATTAAGTGAGTACCTGATTATTTGGCCCTAAATTAAGGGAGTGGCCCTTCTTATCTATTTCCTTTTGCAACACTGAATGTTGGATATACTAATATGGTGACACTATGGCCTAAAAGGGAGGAATAGAAAAATTAGAGAATTGGAAGGGGGAAGAGAAAGTGTTCAAGTAATTGGAAGGAAGAAGACAGGAAAGGGGAGGAAAAAGAGAAAGAACTATAGATTTAAGACAAAGAGGCACATGGTCAATCAACAATAGACCTCCTCAGAAAACAAAGGCCCTTAAATCGAGCTAAAATCTTATATTTCCATTCAAGAAAAAGTAATCAAGACAAATTTTAATTCAAATTTTAATTCTCAGATATGTGAACTCTTTGTTGCAACTTTCAAGTTTTCAATGAAGGCCAAGTTAAAAAAAAAAGTGGTACCTGCATCCTAGGTTTGTTATTTTAATTGAAAAGCTGAGCTCAAACTTGAAATCCTAACTTAAGATACCTCCTAACCTAAGAGACACAATACCAGTTAACAACACAAAAAAATCAAATACAATTGTTTGTGTCCAATGATAAGCATACATTAGTTCTTTGGGTGCCAACACTCTGACTGTATCAAGCCCAGTACCAAACTGATAGAACCTCTGTCTAGTCCTCTCTTTTCTCAGTAGAGAAGCCAATGAGTAAATCCATAATAATGAGCACTCATGATTCACATACAACAGTGCCCAGCACCCACCCTGACTTCTGTGTTTCCATTCACCATCACCTTCTATTCTCAGGCTCATCATCCGTCGCGATCACTTGCTGGAGGGCACCTTCAATCAAGTGATGGCATACTCCCGAAAGGAGCTCCAGAGAAACAAGCTGTACATCACCTTTGTTGGAGAGGAGGGGTGAGGCACCATGAGCTTCATACAGTTAGATCAGTGTGGGAAAGTCAAATCCAAGAAATGAGGGGTAATTTCTTTCAGGAAAGAATAGAGTGGCTACAAACCACTGGCCTAAAGTGGATCTGAGCATAAGTTCTCAGTAAGCTTTTCTCTCCCCAGGCATCCTCAAGCCTTAGGCTTCTTGCTCCTTTTATTTATTTATTTATTTATTTATTTATTTATTATGTATGCAATGTTCTGTCTAAATGTATACCTGAATTCCAGAAGAGGGAACCAGATCTTACTATAGATAGTTGTGAGCCACCATATGGTTGCTGAGACTTGAACTCATGATCTCTGAAAGAGCAGCCATTGCTCTTAACCTCCAAGCCATCTCTCCTGCCCCAGGCTTCTTGTGCTTTAAAGAGGAAGAGAAAAGAAAAAGTTGAGCTCTTGGCATGTCCCAGAGTCTGAGACATGTCCCATGAGCTCATGTCCCATGAGCAAAGTGTAGCACAAATTAAAATCCTGTACCACTGAACATTTGCTTTGTAGGTATTGTAAATTTCTGAGAAGAAAAAAAAAAAAAAAAAAAAACCTCTTCCTTCCAAAATGCAGATATCAAGTTATATACCAAAGTTTTCGTGTGCTTTTTCTGACTTAATGTACACATCATCTAAGTGTGCAATGCAGCTACCTAAAAGGCAAATGAAATTGGACTTGTAAGCTTGTATGAATACACACACACCACACACACACATAACCTTTATAGAAAACTACCATAGGAACTCATTCATAGGTATTTAGTGAAAAAAAATACCCAAAACCAATTACTACGTCTTTTTCTAAAGTTGGTACTTCCCCTTGGAGTTCACTGTAAAGAGGAAAGACTGTTCTCTGCTTCTCAGAAAACATACCCAAAAGACCTCACTAGGACCTGGATAAGAAACTGTCACAAAAGTGAGCTTCCTGGACCTGTGTTTCCTTTGCAGCTTGGACTACAGTGGCCCTTCCCGAGAGTTCTTCTTCCTTTTGTCTCAGGAGCTCTTCAACCCTTACTATGGACTCTTTGAGTATTCTGCAAATGACACTTACACAGTGCAGATCAGCCCGATGTCTGCCTTTGTAGAAAACTATCTTGAATGGTAAGGTCTCTAATATTCACTTTCTTGTGTTTAAAAAAATTATCTTTCCTAGTCAAAAGTCAGCAGCATGCCTCTAAGGAAACTGCATTTGGAGCAGTTAACCAGGAATAGTTGGATCCTAAGAGCAGATAACATGGAAGCAAAGATAAATTACCAAAGACATTGATGTTATAGATGTTTACAACTGTCAATTGATATAAGAGAATAATTGTCTACTTAAAAACTCTAAAAAGACATATATGATAAAATTGATAATTTCCTTGAAATCAAAAGGTGCGCTAGATGATTCTCAGAGTTATTCATGGTTTTAAAATTCTCTTATTTTGAACTGGCATGCCTTTAGCATTGGATTTGTATTTAACCATAAAGTAAATCTGAGTCGGATAACCTCTAAACATTCTTCTCATTTGAAAACTCAGTTTTGGCTTTAATAAGGAATTCTATTGCCAATTACGGATATGTGTCTGAATATCGGGATCTGTCAGTTCTGTGTGTCTCTGTGGGCTTGGTACCTCGCACACGATTGTCGAAGCCTCCAGAAAACCACGTACAATTTGTAGTCGCAGACAGTTTCCTGCTGCATCAACCCGGACCTAATTTGATACTTTCACTGATCTCAGGAGCTCCTTTTTGGGTTCTAGAAATAGCCCAAACACCACTCCTCTGAAGCAGCTCATTTATGAATTATTATTTAGGAATTATTATTGAATCTATTGCGAGTTCCTAGATGTATTCACTATGCTCCCTATCGTTGTGACAACATATAAGGCAAACAACTTAAGAATGAAAGGGTGATTTCTGCTCACAGTGTTGAGGCTGCAGCCCACCACAGAGAAAGCATGGTGCAAGAAGAGTGTGACCTATTTGGTCACATTGCTCTGAAATCAGGTTGCAGAGAGCTATGAACACGTGTCCTCTGCTCTCACAAGCAGACCCATCACAAGTCTACTCCTTGTCGACTTGACACCCAAACATAATACTTTTTATATGTTAATATATTTTTATTTATAAGTTTTCATAAAATACATTTTTGTTTTGTTTGGTCTCAGTTATTTTTTTTTTGAGTTTTCTTTTATTGAAAATATATTTTTTCATACAAAGTATTCTGATTATGCTTTCCCCTCCTCCAACTCCCCCAAGATTCTGCCCACCTTCCCTCCCATCCAAATCCACACCTTTCTCTCATCAGAAAACAAATAGACATCTAAAGAATAACAATAAAAATAAGATAAAACAAGAAAGGGCAAATGGAAATAGGACAATACAAACAAAGAGAAGAAAGAGGGCCAAAGAAAATGCTCAAGAAACACATATAGATGCAGAGACACACACATTCATACACACAGCAATCCAATAAAAATATACATACACACACAAAACCAAAAGCTATAATATATATACATAGGACCTGTAAGGTTAAAACAATGTTTTAAATGCCCTCATAAAACATTATGAAACAAAGAACCTCCAAAGATGCCATTGAGTTCATTTTGTATTGACCATCACCTGCTGGCCATGGGGCATGCCCTTAAGAGTGGTTTGTATCCCCAATAGGACTGTATTGGAGAGAAATAACTTTTTATTTCTAAGTGGTTATCAGTTAAAGGTAACTTCTAGCCGGGTGTAGTGGTACATGCCTTTAATCCCAGCACTGGGGGAGGCAGAGACAGGCAGATCTCTGCAAGTTCACAGCCAACCTGGTCTATAAAGCCAGTCCATGAAAGCCAAGGCTACATGGAGAAACCCTGTCTCAAAAAAGAAGAAGAAGAAGAAGAAGAAGAAGAAGAAGAAGAAGAAGAAGAAGAAGAAGAAGAAGAAGAAGAAGAAGAAGAAGAAGAGGCGAAGGAGGGGGAGGAAGGGGAAGAAGAAGCAGAGGAAGAGAACAAGGAAGAAGAAAGCTTCTGCATTAGGGATATGGGCTTGTGTCCACTTTTCCTCTCAGCACTAGGTTTCCATTTGCTGCAGACCCACGCAGGTCCTGTGCATGCTGCCACAGTCTCTGTGAATTGGTTTGTGCTTTGGCTCTGCTGTATTTAGAGGGTTGTATTTCTTCGGTGTTCTTAAAATCTTTCCACCTCCTTTTACACAGTGTTCCCTGAACGCTGAAAGGAGAAATTTGATGGAAACACTCCATTTGGGGCTGAATGTTTCAAGGTCTCTCTCTCTGAATGTTTTCTAGATATGAGCCTCTGTGTTTGTTCCCATCCTCTGAATCAGGAAGCATCTCTGATAGCTGAGCTTCACTGATTAGTACGTATAGCAGAATGTTTTTAAGAGTCGTTATGGCTATGTTCAATCACCAAACAACACAAGCTATTTTCAAGGCTATTGGTTGCTCTCCACAAACTGACAGTAACATTCTATAGTCGTGTAGTACAACTTGAAGTCTGGGATGGTGATATCTCCAGCAGTTCTTTTATTATTCAGAATTATTTTAGCTAGCCTGGTTTGTTGCGTTCCCATGTGAAGCTGAACTTGATGTTTTGGTTTGGTTTGGTTTGGTGTTTTCAGTTTCTGTGGAAGGTCTTTCCATCTTCTGATGTCTTCTTCAATTTCTTTCTTCAATGCCTTAAAGTTTTTATTATACAAGTCTTTTCTTGTTTGGTTAGTTATCCGAAACATTTTTTGAGGCTGCTGTGGAAGGTACTATTTCCCTGATTTACTTCTTGGTATGTTTTTCATTTGTATATAAGAAGACTACTGCTTTCTATGTGTTGGTTTTGTATCTTCCTGGTGTGTTGAAAGTCTTTATCAGCTGTAAAAATTTCTGGTAGAATCTTTAGTTTTATTTATATACAAATCTTTTCATCTGCAAATAAGAATACTTTGACTTCTTCTCTTCCTATTTGTATCCACCTGATTTCCTATAGTCGTCTTATTGCTCTAACTATGACTTCGACTACTATATTGAATAGGGATGTCTTGTTCTTCCTGCTTTGGGTTTTCTCTCCATTTAAGATAATGATGTCTGTGTGCTTGCTGTAAATTCCTTTATTATGTTGAGGTATATCCTTTGTATCCCTATCTTCCCCAGGATGTTCTTCATGTGGGGCTGTTGAATGCTTTCACATATCTTTCCTGCATCTAATAAGATAATCATGCTTCTTTTTTCTTTAAGTTTGGATTGCATGTGTTGATTTTCATGTTGAACCACTCCCAAATCTCCAGGGTGAAACCAACTTAATCATGGTGATTAATCTTTTTTATGTATTCTTGAATATATTTGCAAGTATTTTTTTACATCTGTAGTTTTATTGCAATACACACTGATACACAATTAAAGGCAAAATGTTCTGGCATTTCTGAGAATTTCATGAAAAGCAAACGTAGCCATCTAGGCAGTAGGCAGTAGTAATCATATTTTTCCAAGCCAAAAAACAAACAAACAAACAAACTTTTACATGAGATAACTCAGCAAAGTCTTATTCACATCTACTTTGGTTTAAGAAAACAGCTGTTGTGAGATGAGCTGAGAAGGAAAGGTTGCTTTTGTTATTTCAAAGTTCTGCCTCTATGTTTCATTCCAACAACCCGAGTGAACTGGGAGGCCATGTGTTTGGAGACTACATGGAATCTGCTTATAAGACTGATGATGATAATGTCACCATAATGGAAATGAAAGGATAAACAGGAAAAAGTGTTTCCTACACAAGGCTCTTTTCACCTGGCTCACTTAAAAGGTTTTCATTATCATAAACATTTTAACTCTATTACAGGACATTGGCAGAAGGCTGCTTTATATCTGCAAAAGGGCTCTGCCTTCGCATGAGCTTGGAGCAAACTGTCAGGAATGAAAAGTCCTGACCCTGAGAAGCAAGCATCACTGCCCAGAGTCACACAGGCATTGTTTTGTGACCACCTCATAAAAGAAAGAAGGAATCTTGACAGTTTCCCCTCAGTGGTCACTGTAGCAGTTGGGTGCTTAAATCCCTTTAGTGCCCAAACGTGCAAAAGCACTCTAAGGGAAAAAAAATGCAGAACAGCAATTTGAGTAAATATGCTGCACCTTATATAACTTGGGAACAAAAGAAAGAGAATCCCAGGCACAGCCCTGAGACTCCATGTAGAAAAGCATTTCAGGAGAAAACTGTTTGTAAACATTAAAACTCAAGGGCATATAGATACACTTTTGGTTAATCTGTGCTATGTCAAATAGGAATTCTGGTAGATGCTCAGTCGGCTAGGTAATTCTTTTGGGTTTACACTGTTGTCTGTATAAGTGGAAGAATATACCCTGTTGCATATACTTACACATGTATGTTTATATAACTCAGATCATCAACATTTCTTTTAAATACATTCACTTTAAAACCCATGTCTCTAAAAACAAATACATTAAACTTCTAATATCTAATTCTGAGTTCCTTACCAAGCCTTTCAGAACTGTTTCTTAACAATGGCAGGGGACCATTAGCTTTCCCTTTAAGCACTAAAATGCAGGCACATCATAGAAACAATATGTGAAAACAGCCATGTCTTCACTTCCTCCATGTTCATTCCCTGTGATGCTTCTGCATCTGTCCAGTGGTGGGACAGCATTTCCTAGAGGGAGCACCTCATTCAGTTGACATCACTTCCTAACCAAAGGAGTCAGCTGCCATTGCCCTTGAGCAAACTAACACCCTTTGTGTTCGATATCGCTCCCAGAGATCATGGTGAGTGGTGTGTGATTATCCCCCTGAGGTAAAGCAGAGGGAGCCCTGGAATTTGAAGGAGCCAAAGTTTCCAGGAGAACAGCACATAAAGGACCTGGGTCTCCATATCTCAATGCCATGAAGTAACTCAAAACCACACCAGGATGAGAACCTGGGGCATCTGACAGTGTAGTTCAAACAACAGAAATGGGTAGTTTCTAAAGACAGGACACAACCCACAAAAAAAATGAGACGTTACTGTTTAATTCCCACCTCAAAAAAAAAATCTTTTTGTGTTTGTTTGCTTGTATTTCCTGAGTTTCAGCTTTAAATTTGATTATTTCTTTTGATCTACTCTTTGGGGGT